CACACTGTTATTGAGTCTAGGGATGCTCTTTTCGATGAGAAGCGGTTCACTTCTATTCCTAGGCCAAAGGATGTTGTTGATCCCGGTCCAAGTAATTCAAACTTACATGAACTGGAAAAGGATCATGAAAATGAGCCTGAAATAAGACGAAGTAAGAGGGCTAGAAAGGAGAAATCTTTTGGTCCCGATTTTCAATTGTATTTGGTTGAGGGATCGAGAGAGACCCTTGAAACTCAAACACTATATTGTTATAGTGTTGAGGAGGATCCTAACTCTTTTGAAGAGGCAATGAAATCTCAAGATGCTTCCTTCTGGAAAGAGTCCGTAAATGATGAAATGGATTCAATTATGGGAAATAATACTTGGGTTCTAAGTGATTTACCACCCGGTTGCACACCAATTGTTTGTAAATGGATTTTCAAGAAGAAAATGAAAGTAGACGGTACCATTGACAAGTTTAAAGCTAGATTGGTTGCACAAGGCTTTAAACAAAAACATGGTATCAATTACTTTGACACATATGCACCGGTAGCTAGAATAACTACCATAAGATTGTTAATTGCTTTATCGGTCATTCACAATCTTGTTATTCACCAAATGGATGTCAAAACTGCATTCTTAAATGGTGAATTGGAGGAGGAGGTGTATATGAAACAACCTGAAGGGTTTGCTGTTAAAGGACAAGAAAAGAAAGTTTGTAAACTTGTCAAGTCCTTGTATGGTCCGAAACAAGCACCTAAACAATGGCATTAAAGGTTTGATGAGGTGGTGCTGAAAATGGTTTTAAAATAAACCAATCAGACAAGTGTGTATATGGCAAATTTAATGAGCATGGTATATTGGTAATGGTGTCATTATTTGTCTATATGTTGATGACATGCTCATATTTGGCACTTAATTATCTTTCAAACTTCTCCATGAAAGATATGGGTGAAGCGGAAGTTATCTGTAACACCCCGAGCTCGTAGGTCCCGAGGTAGTTACTCCAGACCTCTAGTACTGTCCTCACAAACCGCCACTAGCCTTTTCCGCGCACTTTGTCCTCACTCGTGCGCGCCCTGAGAAACTTCCCAGGGGGTCACCCATCCCAAGACTACTCTCATGCAAGCACGCTTAACTTTGGAGTTCTTGGCAGATAAGCTCCCTTAAAAGGAGATGCATCTTGTTGGTATGAGTAGTACTATTAATCCATTTATATTAAATCTCAAGTGTTACAATCACCCCCACTTAGGATCGCAACGTCCTCGTTGCGCCCTTAAACCAATCTCAATCACACCCCTGAATCTTTTCCTCTACTAAGTGCCCGCCCGATATCCAACGGATCAACACACTGTCGCGGGGTTGCTCTGATACCATTGTAACACCCCGAGCCCGTAGGTCCCGAGGTAGTTACTCCAGACCTCTAGTACTGTCCTCACAAACCGCCACTAGCCTTTTCCGCGCACTTTGTCCTCACTCGTGAGCGCCCTGAGAAACTTCCCAGGGGGTCACCCATCCCAAGACTACTCCCATGCAAGCACGCTTAACTTTGGAGTTCTTGGCAGATAAGCTCCCTTAAAAGGAGATGCATCTTGTTGGTATGAGTAGTACTATTAATCCATTTATATTAAATCTCAAGTGTTACATTATCCTTGGAATTAGGATAATTAAGAAAGGTGATACTATCATCTTAACACAATCTCACTATATAGAGAAAGTGTTGAAAAGATTTGGGAGTTTGGATTGTTCGCCGGTTTCCACTCCCATGGATCCTAGTTGGAAATTAGTTCCAAATAATGGGAACGCTGTATCACAGCTTGAATATGCTAGGGTAATTGGGTGTTTGATGTATGCAATGACTAGCACCCGGCCAGATATTGCATTTGCGGTAGGCAAACTAAGTAGATATACGAGTAACCCTAATATATTTCATTGGCAAGCCTTGAAGCGAGTGCTGAAATATCTAAAGAAAACAATAAGTTACGGCTTATGTTACAAGAGTGAACCCTCTATATTAGAAGGTTATACGGATGCAAGTTGGATAACTAATCAAGAGGATTATTCATCCACAACTGGATGGTTATTCCTTCTTGGAGGAGGTGCTGTTTCATGGGCATCTAAGAAACAAACTTGTATCACTGACTCTACCATGGCTTCGGAGTTTATAGCTTTAGCATCAGCTTGTAAAGAAGTGGAATGGCTAAAGGATTTAGTGTCAGAAGTACCGATATGGCCTAAACCTATGGCTCCGATATCAATCCATTGTGATAGTGCATCAACTCTGTCGAAAGCTTATAATCATGTGTACAATGGTAAGTCAAGGCACATAGGAGTGAGACATAGCTATGTGCGGGAACTTATTAGTTCTGGAGTTGTTGTGATTGATTTTGTACGATCATGTGTGAATTTGGCCGATCTTTTTACAAAGGCGATGCCAAGAGACATGGTGTACAAAACTGCAAAAGGGATGGGGTTAAAGCCCTGGAATATAATCACAAGTGAAAGAAAGCACAACTCAACGTCTAGTACAACGCTAGATCTTGAGTTCAATGATGATGAGTAAGTCACTTCGTGATTGAAGCACTTTTGAATAATGACCATCCCGAGGTAAGTGCTTGAGTCTGCAATGTGTAATGAGGTTGACTATGTCTTAATAGATCTTTTGATAAAGTGTTTTATTGCAGAACACATATTTTAAAGATCAACCTATGTGAGCTAGAATGTCGGCCGATTCACCAAGTTTAAGGTTTTACTTGTTGGAGCTCATGAATGGATATGGACACAAGGCTGTTAATAGTGTCAAGTTTCTAATTGAAATTGTATAAAGATTTATGTGTCTAATATCTTCAATATTTCAAAGAGGTTATATAGTTCAAAGTTTAGTCTACTATTATGATCCGAAATATTGTAAAGAATATTGCACTAAATAAAAGTTCAATCTTTACGACACTTTCAATTACGCATAAATCTTGATAAGTGATCTATTTGGCAAGGATTGAGTATGTTTATTTTCAATAAATGGAGGAGGATTGTTGGAGATTTATTGAAAATAAAACTCAATTATTAAATTTACATGGTCCTTAATCATTTTATAAACAATGTGATCTATTAAAATGATGTTATTTTAATATAATGATTATTATATATATTTTTACTCACATGTGCTATTTTATTAAAATACGAAGTATTAAATTTGCATTTTAAAGGGTTGCTAATTGCGGCTGATTTTGCACATGTCTTTATTTATATGGAAACTCTTTGATTAAAAGAATGACTTTTTAAAATCCTTTAACTTACGTATGTATGTGTTCTTTAGAAGAGCCGTGTTGTTTCATATAAAAAGAAAAAATGACTTTTATGGCCGTTCGGCCAAAGGACACTTCGTATGTATTGTTAACTGCCATTCTAGAGGAGCTGCCATTTGTTTTATAAATAGGCAGGATTGTGTTGGATTGGGGACAATCGAAAATCAATTCTCAATCTTATTTTGCTTTACTAAAATACTAATATCTGCAGTGTTAGTATTAGAGTGTTTAGACCACTTAATATACAAATTACTTGTTTTAATGTTATTTTGTCAGTGGCCAAAATATACTGTACACCTTTTTATCCCAAAAGTTCTATCTTATAACACGGTTACTGTGATAAGGGTAGATAGTAAACTTTTAGGAAAGCGTAGTTTATACGTGACTAGAAGTGATATCCGGTTCAGCCATATTCACACCCTTATTTAATATACTCCAGTTCCAACACTTTATTTAAAAGTTATAAAAGTTGTAGGTGTCAGAGTCACAGACTCACATTCCCGCTTAAATCGTCTTAAGACATAGCTGACAAGTACTTTGAGTCTTTGAGATCACACATGAGAACCACAATGTTCTAATCTTCTTCAACTTCCACTGATGATAACTTACAACCACTTGATTGCTTAAGAACCATATAATGGTCTTATATTCATCTTCTCGTGATGATTTTAGCATGTCATTCTTCGTCATTCAATAAGTGGGAGGAGGGCCCAAACAAACCAATCAGTCACAGAACCGCACGCGGTACTGCGGTAGGGCAGGCAGCGCAATCAGCGCACAAATACTCCACACCTACCCCTACATACGCATAGAAGCATCTCACCAAAAAGTAATCCCTGGCAAGGACTTCATTTTAGATATTGAGCCATGACCAGTGCAGCCTGTTAGTGAACTACACAAGCTTAGGTTCCTTCAGAATTTGCACCAGAGTTATAGAGTGATATCTATTCCAACTTCCAAGGCACACAAAGATAGACAAGTTGCCAACCAAACGGTGCTCTACGTATTGATCTAAGGCATCAAACATCATGTTGGTGATGTTGAGAATGTTTATGCTCCCAAAGAAACACTCCAGTGACATTACACCCCGCCTCAAGATCCTAAAACTGTTCATCTTTCCCAAATCCTTCTTGTAAAAATCATGTTATGCTTAAAGTAGAAGATGGCTTCTGAGTCATTTCATGAAGTATCCAACTCATCACCATACATATGCACATTAAGTCAAATAGAATCATAATGCCAAGTAAATAGTGAGTGAAGTTGCTAGAATGAGGTTGAAGAATGTCATACCCAAAGCCTTACGTAGGCTAACATACCAACATTGTAGACCTATGTGAAGTGTGAACCTATACAAGGATTTCCTAAGCACACATTTTGGAGAGTTCAAATGGTAGCCTTCTGGGAGCTTAAAAGTATTCTTAATTCTTACACGAGGTGATCATTATGATTGAAGGGATTGTGAACGTACTGGCCCTACAACTGGGAGAACTTAAACGGCAATGAGATCAACCACCATGGGAACATTTCATTGGAGTTAATCCCTCGCACTTGTCTGTGTTCCTGTATCAAACAATCTGAGCTTTTATTCATTCAACAGTTCCATCTGCACGTTTTTTATTTTATTCTGAAGACCCATTCAAGAAAGTCTCATCTTGTAGAGGTAATGGCAATGCATGCCATCTTTATTTGGGGGGGGGGGGGGGCATTGGAAGACATCTTCGAGCAAAAAAAAACACGGTAACTATCTTCAAATTTCATTCATCCCAAGGGCTTCTTCTCAACATATAACTATTACAAGGTTATTGTTTTTATACTATGAAGTTTTAGATACAAAACAGTTGAGAAGAGATACAGATATGAGCTTATATTTGGTAGAGGTTACAACATACAAGTAGGCAAAAAACAAGCCTGAGAACAAATAGGTAAAACAACTACAGGAAAAAGAATACCCAGTTCTCAATCTTCAATATTATTAGACAGACAGCCAACATCAGTTGATAGAGGTGCAGCAGAGGTAGAACTTCCTTGTGCACTACTACTTGTACTACTACCTACTGTTCCAATAAGGTTAGTTTCTGACAAGGAAGGCGAACCACTTTTTGTTGTCTGGTTTGATGGACAAGCTTGGCTGTCAACATTCCTGAGCAACTCAAGGGCAGAAAAGGGGAAAACTTTAGGAGGAGCAATCTGGTTCGAAACACAGTTGAAGTTATTTGTTGCAGCCGACGGCTTTGGCCGATCTTCCTCCTTGTCTTGTGACATGTTAGAAAACTCAAAGACTGATGGCCGGATTGGCCCATGTTTGAGTGAGAATGAAGATGAAGACAAGTTCGAAGCACTCGAAAAAACTTGTTTACCAATTTGATTTTTCTGTGTTACAGAAAGCTTTCCGAGAAAATCATCAAGATTCCTAAGCAACTCCATTGCAGGAACATTATTAGCACAGGGTAGTGATGATGTTCTGTTATTGGGTTGTGATTTTAGAGAAGGCTTTGCTGAAGGTTGAAGTGGAGAATGATCGATTGAGGAAGGGTTTGAAGGAGGAAAGTTGGCAGCAGCCACTGAGGGTCTTGATGAAGGCCTAAAGGATTGAAGGTGGGGTGCTGGGGCACGAAAATCTCCTCCTGTTCGTAGGTTACCTGAAGAAGGGGTAATGGAACCGATAACTGGTGCCCTGTGGGAAATCGATGGGGATTTACTAACCAAAGAAGATCTCAATGAAACGGGAATCGTCTGCTGGGAAGCCAGAGAAGTTGATGGTGGTGATCTTGACCAAATTGTTGGTGGCAATTGCTGGCTGCTAGATTGAGACAAAGAAAATGGTGATGGTGGTGTTTTTCTTGGTGATTCACCAACCACGGGAAAAGGCATTGATGGTGATGGCTTTCTAGGAAATTCGCCAACTGCAGAGGACTTTGACGGGGCAGTAGCTAAGTAGTGTCTACCAGAAGATAAAGGAAGAGATTGCAGATTCATAAGTGCTGGGGAAGAAGTTTGCTCTCCAGCAGCAGAAGAAGCGACTGATGGTGACCTTGTCCGTACCGTTGACTGGTTTTGCTGACTAGCTGGAAGAAAAGAAATATATGATGGTGGTGGTGGTGGTGGTCTTCTTGGAGATCCACCAACTGCAGAAGGCATTGGAGAGTCAGAAGTCTCCTGGGCAGTGGCCAAATCTTGTCTACTCGAAGACAGAGAAAGGGATGGCGATTCTGAAATTGCTGGGGCTGAAGTTTGCTCTCCATGAGAAGATGAGGGAATCGAAGGTGATCTTGACCGAGCCATTGATGGACTTTGCTGGATAGCTGGAGTCAAAGAAACTGATGTTGGTGGTGGCCTTCTTGCGGATTCACCAACTACAGAAGGCCTTGACAGGGCTAGCTGACTAGTAGCTAGTTGTTGTCCAGCGGAAGGCAAAGATGGGGATGGCAGTCTCGTAATTGGTGCAGCCAAATTTTTCTGTTGTTCTCCCGGGTAAGGTGAAGCAATTAATGGTGCTTCCTTTTGCCACCCAGTGAGGGAGGCGGACAGCAACGTTGGTTGAATTTGCATTGATACTTGATGTAAATGCTGCATAAAACTGGTAGGTATGGCTGCATTGGAACACAGACAAACAAAAAAGCATAAGCTGTTATCTAGATGTCTGGTGTGGAAGTATAATGAAAGGCATACATGAGGCCAGGGAAAAGGAGAGGACGGTGTCTACATTATTTCATCAAATAAATCAATAGGCTAAATATTCATTATATATTTAGGTGGGTGTTACTTTAGATTTGAGATGAATCATAATCCATGTCTACTTGATGTATTAGTTGAATATGATGCATTGATTGTTTATCGGCTTTGAATTAAAGATATACAGAAGTGAGGTAAATCTCAACTCTTTGGCCCACTAGACTCAACTTAACATTGTATTGGAACCCGATGTAATGGTGATTTGATGGGCACCCCCGCTCACTAGATGGTTTGGGATAGCTTGTTTGAATATCAATGTGGGCCCATTTTTCCAAACCATCAGGTGCCCAGACCAGTTTGGAGTGGGCAGAATTGCTGGAGGGTATCCAAACAGGGTGTTGAGTCTAGTACAAGTGCAAGGTGAACCTCGCTTCTTGAGCCTCTTTGTGGACTAGTTATGTGCAATTTAAAGCATGTATACGAAGTTGTCCACATCCACATTAGAAAGGTTGTTTTGATCTGTCGGGAACAGAAACTGCATTCACCCACCAAAAGTCCAGGGAGGAGTGTCACCAAAAGTAGTTGGACAGGGCATATTTGGGGGTAAAGTGGAATTTGCCACAAACGTACACACCTTGCATACCCGGGATCCTTGATGGCTTAAGATCCAAGCATTTTGATCGGAAAGTATCAGCCAATAGCTTGTTCAAAAGAACTTTCTTTAGATTCCCACCAAGTTCATTCTTTATGAGTGAATATTTCGTCTCTGACTCATGAAGTCTGGAATTGTATTTGTTACGAATTTCTGTAATGGTTTCCTTAATTTCCATATCACAATCAGATTTAATCTGTGATCTCTGTTCAAAGGTGGCACAACAAAAAAAGACATAAATCCACCATTATTCAAGGATAAAAGCAAGAAATAGAAAATCATCATGCAGGGAACTAGATGATTACCAAATCTTCTTGACTCTTGGCAGCATTCTCCATTTCTCGGCGTATCCTATCAAATTCATAATGAAGAGGATCTGCATTCAAAGGGAAAAGGTGAGTTCCAACATGACCTTAAGAGAGTTAAGGCAACCATATTGTGTCCCCCTCCCTATTTTATTATAGAGACCATATTACCGGGTTCCTTCTTAATCAAGAGGGTTAATTCAACCATATTGTGTCTCCCTCCCTATTTTATTAGAGACCGTATTATTAGGTTCCATCTTAGTATTTTAAGAAACAAATAGTAAATAACATGCTTGGCGAGTAACAAACTTTACTATGGCAGTGTGTTTGGATCGGATTTCAAACTTGATTCTGCTACTATAGTCCTATGTGGATTGTGGATCATTTAGAAACGTAATAAATTTATTGGTGTTCAAGTACTCCCAAGGATCATTTAGAGCAGGCATTGACCTGCCTCTGAAAAAGTGATTTTGACCCTTGACTGCTAATTTCCTAAATATCATCCACACACGCAAGCACATAAATTTTATTAGTGTTCAAATACCATTGACATATATTCAGATTTGGAGCAGGCGTTGACCTGCCTCTGTAAAAGTGATCCTGACTGCTAATTACACAAACACACACAGCAATGTGTATAAAGAAGACACATGCACACACACATAAACTTTCTGTAACCTATAAGTCATTTTGTACAAGAGTCAAAAGTGAATCTTTATTTCATACAGCACTAACAATGTCACTAAAAAGAATGATTTTATTATGACTTTAAAGCACAAGTCATAACAATAAGAAATGTCAAACACCGAGAACTGACAAGCGCAGTTTCAAACTTCACACCTCGAGAATCAGAATCAATAGAAGGTTGTGTTCCTGTCCCAGTCTCAACCGACAGTGGAGAAGGTTGCCTAGAGGGATGTAAAGCATTATCCTCTTGATCACAAGCCAAATATGCAGCTTCATCGTGTGAAGGGAGACCACTAGCATTAGGAGCTGATGGACGTTCACAATTTTTAGCCAATATGGCTTCAGAGAAAGGCATTCCGTGTTGAGTAGAACTAATAGGCCCTGTAATTCCAGCTTCACTATCTAATGTACTCTGGTTCTCTGATAGAAGTGCCCTATCAGACTGATTCATTAAATACTATATAATGGTTAGTTATCAATCAAAGATCATATGAGTTGTCTACATTAAAGGCACAAAAAAGGCTTTTTCATAAAAGGCACTATATAATGGTTAGTCATCAATTATCAATCAAAGTCCTGCTTCCTAGACTGCTATGTGAATGTCTACATAAAAGGCAAGAGTTCAATAGTAACATAATGGAAATCAGAATTTCATGTCACATAGATAGTGGATCATTTGAGTGGAACAGATCACTTAAGTAAACTTCGTCTCTATGCATTCTTGGGTTAATTTAATCAATAGTTGACACAGTACATTCTAATCCATACTAACATCAATTATTTGGAATTAAGGAGATGATAATGATAATGATATGCATATTATCATAGGACTTCCATCTTTTGCAAAGAATCAAGAGTCATAGGGTTTCTATAATTCTGACGCATTCACAAGTACACAGAAACTATGAGCATTGTATTTGAGGCCTAATAAACTGCTTCAAGAAACTGGATGCTTCAGATAAATGCAGATGGCTTCATGAATAATAACAATGCAATAACATATTTACCACAAAAAAAGAAGACGAGCACATACTTGATTTTGAGGTATGAAACCACCATTATTTGAAGGATTAACTTTGTCTGACGCATGATTTACATCAGCATAGTTACTAGCATCATCTTCCGGGCAACCTTCAATATTCCCCACACCGTGTACATTTGTAGTATTTGCTTCTGCATCATGTTCAAGTACCACATCTACATCAATGGCATCTTCAGATACTTCTGTTGGATTATCAGAGCTTACCAAGAAGTCCTTGTCCTTCTCACGTTCAGCTAACAAGACCTCATCAGTGATATGTTCTTCTGAAAGTGGTTGAGCCAGAGCTCTGCAAGTTTCACCTTTCTTATCTGTTTCATAATGCTTAAATAAAATCCAAGTCTGCTCATTTCTCTTCATGCTATGCAAAAATAATTTCTTTAGTGCACGAAACTTCAGATAAACAGCAAGTGCTTCATCTTTAGTACATTTAAAATTCAGACGTTCTTTGGTTAGCGCAAGCATCTCATCCTTGTCCACCTTTTGCTTCAACAAAGAAGCTGCCATCCAGCACTGAGAAAACACACAACACATATCAATTAAGAAATATAACTGCCCAACAGCACAAATATTTGCAAAAATGGATTTTTTCCTCAGCAACATATCAAAAGGTCAATCACTAAGAATGCTCCTTTATGTTTCGCACTTGTAGCTTACGGCTGAATTCAGAACTAAAAAAAAAGTATTTAAAACTTTGTTGAGTCACCACAAATGTAAGCTGAAAGAGCCCGGGCGTACAGATTACCATAGATATTTGGAAAGCCTGGAATATTTTCACTGCCATCACTCGTTCCCGACTAATGCGGTGATTTTCCATTACATATTCTAGAAACTGTGCAGCCATTCTTTCGACATCCTCCTACATTTGAAGTCATAAACTGATTATGAATTAAAATTCATACATGAATACACTTCTAACACAAATATCTTATTGACATAATATATCTCCATGAGATACAAACATAATACAAATAACTAAAAAAGAAGTGCAAAAGGAGTCATCAAAATGTGATTATAATAGTCCATGAAATGTCAAATGTCATTTAAGGGTTTATCTATACACCAAAAAGCAAGATTCTGAATTGTATGTTTGTTTAGTTTGAATGGAATGTCACCAATGATTTTTACTTTCAATAATTTAGCTGTTCCTCTAACACTGAAATTAGGTATAGCTCCATTGTTTCATGTACAAGCATTTAGCTTTTATAATTATCAATTTGTAAGTTGAGAGCTTAAAACGAAAAAAAGCCTTGTTAATGAAGCCATATATCATTGATAAGCATAAGTAACTACAACTATAAGCAGACTTCTGGTTACAACAACAAAGAAGGTTATCAAGAGAAGTACCGGAAGTTTTAGCACTTCAAAAACTTTTGACATCTCTTCCTTTAGAAGGATATGAAGACTGCTCTGTGTATCAGATAGTATTATTACTTCTGCAGGATCGTCGCGCGACAGGTCACATAAAGAACTAGAAAAATGCTTTGGAGTAAGTGGACTGTTTTCATTAGTAGATGCTGGTGATGACTCGTTAGAAGGACTAACTGTAGAAGGACCTGCACTAACATCAGAAGATTCAGAACCATTTAAGAAGAAAAAAACTCATAATGATCCAGGAACATAATGCCCTTACACAGTCAGCAAAAGATACCTTCTTCTGAAGTAGAAACTTGACTTCCTTCACTGTTTGTTTTCCTACACTTTTTTACTACTTCATTATGTGACATTTGCAGTGTTTGTGTTGATGCGCCAAAAAATTGGACTCTCTTTCTACTCCTTGGACCTCGCCATCTTAGATGTTTCCACTGGGGATTTCTTACCCCCAACAGACTCTTCCAGAAAACACAAGGTTCTTCATCTGTGCACTGAACTCTCTGCTCCCCAAATAGCGGAAAATTAGTAATGAAGTGTGAAGAACTATGTAAAACTTTTGAAATGAGAGAATCGTGTATGCCAACTATTTCAGAACTTTCAGAAATGATAGTACAGAATTCTTCTACGACACCACTAAGAAGCAACTGCCCAGATGATAAATCGCTCTCATTAGCATAATTCTCATCCAATCTACAGAACAAATCTGATGCGCCCCACCTGAGGGTGTCATTCACATTCCGGTTCAAACTATGCGAGAAGGGATCCGGTTCTTTCTTTGTAATGGAAAGTGCTTGCTCCTCCACAGTAAAACACGAATATAACCGAAAAACCTTGATTTGTTTTGCTTTGGAATAAAGCAATATTCTTTCCAGAAGCCTCATGTCATTCAAAGGATTAGTATCACTACCATATATGATGATGTTATCCACAGAAGATGGTTTAAAGCTTGGTTTACAAGCACGGTTTTCTAATAGTAGAACGAATCGCCCATTTTCCGCTGAATTGAACCTATTAAGAGCAGAATCCTTCTTGGACCGCGTGAGATATGCATCGACAAGTTCATAGGAATTTTCTCCAAACCTTTGACGCAAAAAATCCTCCAATATGTTACCAATTGATGGAGTGGTGCCAACATAAGACTGCCAAATGGATTTAATTAACAAAACAATACAAAAGAGTAAACAGTATGTTTAGTAAGTTTAAAATGTTCATAATACAAATTCATTGAACATAACTCTAACATGCCAAGTGCAATCGGCAGGTTTAAAATCCGGTAGAAAGTAGAAACTAAATTATCATCACCAACATTGGTTTAGAAGCAGAGTAAAAGGTTTAAGTTGGCTAGAATTTATTCAAAACAACTAATTCAGCAGCACATGTATTCAAAAAAGTAAATACGCCCCTACAAAATAAGGAAAACCTCACCCCAGAATTGGTAGTAATTGAATACTTTTATGAAGTGCGATTTATAAAAAAAATTAAGAAAAAGCCCGCGCTAGAGTTCCACCCATAGGTAATGAAAACACCAAGTTTGGTTTTACAGACAAAATGGCTGCAATGACTGAAATACACTATGACTTCAACCATGGTCACACAAATATCCATTAGGGCCTTTTTGTACTTGTGGATTTTCAGACTGTTTAACTGTTTTTTAATCAGATTCAACTATTGCCATTCTGGAAGTTATTCTGGTAAAAATACACAAACCGGCCAATATGATGATGATATCATCCTCATTTTAACTCCATCTCCCTTCCACATGAGAAGAGTACCTAAGCAGAGGTTATCAGAGTTGCAAAACATAGATTCAGATTAAGGGTGTAGGTAAACCTATAGATGGAAAACTTGCCCCATGACTGGTCCATAGTGAACTTAAGCAAGAAATCTAGATGTATCCCTAAAATTGCCCTCTCTTGCTCCAGTTTACTGAACAAAATTTCTCCTATTCCCCTTTTCTATCTCAGCATCCATTTAAAAGAAAGTTGTGCAGTATGTGTCATAAACATTCGAGTATGCCCTTTCCCATCCATTGTACTATTCTAGTATGCTTGAGGATAAGGATATTACGTAAAAAAGAATGCAATCCAGCAAAAATCAAACTTTTATTATTGAATATTATATGAAAATTGTTTGCAACTGATTTTCAAGACACATCTATTACAATTTACAACATCCTTAAAACTAAAGAGATACAAATACAACTATTCTTTAATTATAATTAATTAATTATCTTTAATTATAAAATCTAAATAAACAATTGCAACTTCTTTTCGATAAATATCTTTAATTATAAAACCTAAAGAAACAAATACAACTTTTATTGAAAAATAAAGTGTTAATTTACAAATATAATATAAACTTGCAGTCTTGCAGACAAAATAAACATAGCCTTATTTGAGGTTGAGTTTACAGCCATCTAAAGTAAAGTGTAAAACTTAGTCTGCACGCTGGTAGGCGAAGTTCTAAGAAAACTTAAATAATGGAGATCAGGGACTCTTGATAAGATTAGTATAGAAGATCAAAAAGAGAGATGAAAAGTAAGGCAAAAGAAAGGAACAAGGGCGTGAATAAGAATGGCAGAAGGTTGACCTACATAGATGAAAGTGTATGTAACTGATGTTGTCCAAATGAAAAAAAAAAAAAACAAGATTTAGTTATAGAAAGTTCACACATCTTAACTTTAGTTTCTCCCCGCTGATCTGTTGACTTCATTTCTGATAAAGAAGCAGGTTTTTGTTGATGGAAATTGCCGAATGATCGATCACAATCTCTAAGTCTGACTATTGAGCTTAGGCATGTCCAAAACATTTGTTTCAGTGTGAAAGAGAAGTAATAGCTAAAGAAAATGAGACTGCATTAAGTTTCAGGTCGCAAGACTTATAAAACTTTGTAATGCAAGCCTTTGCTGTTCAAAGAAAATTTTACATTTATAGATTATTCTTATAAAGTTATAATGATAGGTGTATCAAAAAATTAGGGTGCAAGGAGTACTAAACAAAATGCTTTAATAGGGTTTCTTCCATATGAACTGAAAACAAAGCTTGTAGAACTACCCATGATCCTATTTTACTTTGCACCTGACATATCACTTCAGTCAATCATCAAGTTTTACAGAATTCCACGAGATTACCTACATTCTAAAGCCTGAGCGGTACATGTCACAGGATTGAAATGTCTACCACCCTCATCCTCTGATGAGTGATGATGCCTAACCCCATCCGATATACTCTTCGAAGCAAAACATGTAACATATTTAGATGTGCTTCAGGAAATATGTTACCCTTACCCTCAAACTAAAAGCGGCTAAAGAACTTTTTTTTTATAAAGAAATATTAAAGTGGTATTCTTGAGTAAAAAACAGTTAACTAAAAGACTTTCATAGAAAAATATTTATCACTGGAACATGTTTTAACCCTCTAAACCAATCCAAACAGACACTAAAATTCATGAGATCACATATTCAGAAACTCCAACACAAATGATAATCCATGCACTCACGTTCATATAAAATATCTGATATAAATTATAATACATTTGAGACTAGATATTCTTAACTTTTGACACTGTTATCAGCAGCTTCAACCTAAAAAGATTTGCGTAGATTTTTAAAATGTTCACCTAAAGTGAATTTTGAACATACTTTACTATCTGAACTTTTTCATACCCGCACACACCACCTTTTAGAACAGTAGACATCTATTTGGTTACGACTTATGAACAAGTGAACAACTAAAGGGTGTTGCTATTGCTTCCTGCAAGAGAAGAGCACCCAAAACAGAGAGGAACCTTGTTTCTTTGGGTCCATAGAAGTACCTCTCATATGAGAACTTTGGAATTACCTATATATATATATATATATATATATATATATATATATATATATATATATATATATATATATATATATATACACACACACACACATATATATATATAGATTTTGGTTTAGGTGAGAAATGCATCTAATGTGAGAAATGAGAATGAATCTTAGCCATTGGATTTACGAAGTTGCACTAAAATTGGCTTTATGTTGCAGTAATATTTAAATTTTGCACATGTTGCACTAAAACTGTTTCATGTTACACAAATATTTGACGGCGTTGCACCGAAATAGCTTCATGTTGCACTAGACACGTGTAATACGGATTTTTCAGAAGTATTTACAGAAATGCCACCGTGCTAGATTGCATATTTCAGTGCATCATGAAGTGTATTTTACTGCAACTTAGTCGAATCCAATGGCTGAGATTCATTCTCATTTCTCACCCAAAAGGTTCTTCTCACTTGAACCTTACCCTATATATATATATATATATATATATATATATATATATATATATATATTCGTTTAAAAGCAAAACAATCTAAATGAATACCTGAAAAAGGACAATGGTTCTTAGTTGCCGGCATTTCATCTCATATAGCATCTTGTCAAGAAGTCGCAGTTTCCCACTTGCTTGTATTCCAATATTCAAGATCTCAGTCTGAGAAAGCTCCTTGTTGAAGGGGCTCGTGGATGGGTCGAAAATGATATAAGGATGATCACAACACTGAAAAAGGAAAAATTTCACAAATTAGCGGTACCTGGCAGTTGCAACAAAACAAGCAAATCACATGGACAACAATATGCATAATTCCAGATTTCAAGTCATTTCCAAATTTTTGTGCCGTAAGGCACGGATGGAGTGTGGGTGGGAGTTTACTTACAAGCATTAGATTGCCTACAGGTCTTGTATTGTTTTATAGCAGTCCCATGAGAAGCCGTCCAGCTCCAAAATGGAAACAACTAAAATGAATTAGTCAAGGTTATTTTGAATTTTTTAAAATTCACAATTTGTTTGCTTTCATCCATAAATTGAAACACTAACTACTTGTTTGGTTTATGGTTCAAGTAAACTATGTGTATTGTATTCCAAGGCACTTCAGCCCGCCATAGAATAGTCCTAGATCAATCAAATTGTGGTCAATTCATCCCTTTGACAATGCAATGACAGCCGTACAAGGAAACATTTTTGCCTTGTGTTGTCTCCTCAAAGGTGCTTATACATTTTTGCAATTCAGTTGTGTGTTACAATCCATTGTTTCAATTGTAAAAACAATATGGAAGGAATATAGTCAAAGAGTTTTGCTGGTTAAATTAATGGGAAAAGTAACAAACAGAAAAATGAAAATATACTAAATTGCTACTAGAGTAATACCAATAAAAGTGGGTGGTGGGGATTTGCACACATTTTCTAACAACCTCAACCAGAATCTGTTAAATCATAATGTTAAAATGCATTCACATTGAGACAGAAAAATGTCAGATCAAACCTTTCGAACATTAAGAAGCATATCGTTAAGAGCTCCCACTGGATCACTTTTTGGGTAAGAACATAGAGCATCGATGTTCGAGAGTAATGTCTCACAGTAAAGTTCAAGCTGTAATTCAGAAATTTGAACAGGAAGCCAGTACTCAACAAACTCGGAAGACACCACCTTATCGTTCAATTCCTCAAGAGCATCATTTGAGCAGGTTTTCCAGAGATCAACTTTATCCAGATCACCATCAGAATCAACAAGTGACAGTATGTTCAAGTACTCTGATGCAGTATGCTGCAATATACGCAATGGTAAAAATTGGAAAGAGCGAGAAAAATGGGGGGGGGAGATTACTCCCTCCGTCCCGTAAAGAAATTCCTAGTTCGGCTTTCACGGAGTTTAAGGAAATTACATTTGTTCTTTGACTTCCTGAAATGCCCTTTTCACTGAGGGTAAATATATTAATGTAGTACAATGTTTGACATTGTTTAGTTATTATTACTTAAGGGTAGTAGAGTAAACTAATAAGTATTTCTTAACCAAATAAGAAAAGAGGACTTTATTTAGGACCATCCCGAATAAGAGTACATGAACTTTGAATAGTATAGGTGGTAGTATATATATATAAGATACCTTTATTGGACCATTGAAGAGAAGCACCTTTAGCCCACCAAGTGTCTCAATTTTCTCTACATGGGCAAATACATTTGACTGTTGGCACTGATCAATTACAACCACCTCCCAACTCAATCTGTTTATTGTTTGTATATCCTGCATAATAAAAATATAAATGCATGTCAAGAAAATGGCCACACGTTGTTGACCTAAAAAATTACTGATGCAATGCACACCTGAATTACCTAGGTCATCATAAATCACTAAGTATTTGTTAACCAATATGTGTTTGGAAGTGCTAATGTTACAATACCAAAGCTGAAATTATCAAGAAAGCAAGTTGTACCTCGACAGCAATTTCAAGCGAGGTCAAAAGAACTTGAAGCATCATGCTTCCCCCTTGGCTATAAAACTCCAACGCCTCAATAATCCTTCTGGTGTCTCGGTTACCTTGGTAGACTACACAATCTACAGATGGGGCCCACTTCTTAAGTTCAGTTTCCCACTGAGAAATAGCATGGGAAGCTGTGATAATAAGGACAGGGAAGCAGCAGACTGTAGACATAGATAAAATAAACAAAACGATCTTCATTATTTGTTCCTGCAAGTGATATGAGATAGCAGATTTTCAGTTAATCAGGGTCCACCGCAATAGCACCATATTGAATATCATGGCAACATGTGAATTACTCACAGAAAAACATAAATAGTAGATAGTATTACTTATTTATATAATTACTTACAAAAAAACATAATGATGCCATAGTATTCAACCAACCTCATCATCATAAAAAGCAACATTCTGTGATTTACACCAATGATCATGAAGTTTGTTCACAGAATTTAGTATATTCATATCACTTATAAGTGAATTTCCATCCGAAATCTCTGTAAACTTCATGAGAGACTGCTTACAATTCTGCAAGTATGATAAATAAGATCAAAAGAATTACTAGAAACATTAAATAGATATCAAGATATTTGACTTGGTATTGCAAACAATCACACTATAATAGTTCTCCCAAGACAACAGAAAAATTATTCTCTAGTCCCTCCATATGCAATTCTCCATTCTAATGCCTATAGTAACAAACTAACACATGGTTACCATGAGTGGCTCATTACAAAGAAATGTGTGACTAGGATTCAAGTTATGCAGATTGTGACACATTTCACACATCTGCATCCAATGACCACACACAAAGTAGTAGTTAACATTAACTCACAAAGCCACATGAAATTTGGTTTTCAGCATTCAACTTTATAGAACCATGCATTGTTCTAACAGGTATCCAAAGTGAGAAAGATTATGCACTAATTTAATTAGCCTGGATCTGCCATTTAAAACAAATTGCTTACTTTTGAACACAGATAGAGCTGTACCAAAGGTGTTCAAAAGATTACTAATTGACACACAGATCTAATTAGTGTGAGAAAAAAAACAGCAAGGATGATATCTTTTTGTTAATATAATGACAGTACTGGCACCTTTCCGGTGACTTGTTTTGCTTTTTCCTGGCGCATCTCGTACTCCCTAATGAGTCTTTTCCCATAAGGTGAGCACAGACAATCAGCATTCTCCAACTCCCATGTCGCATTCTCATAATCAAGACCTCGCCACTTTATGAGCCATTCATATTGGCATTCTGAATGACCCCTAGTATCAAGATTTTGATAATCACCTTGCAGCTCAGAGAAAGATAATAACCTTTTCTTCAGCAAACGGTGTGGCACTGTCCACTCAGAGTTCCATCTAATAACCTGAATGATGAAACAGAACTATTCTGAGTAAGGCTTTCAAACAATTTAGGGGGGGAAAGTGAAATGTGCACACATTAATTTGACCTGATTATTATCACTAAAGTTTGCAACAAGTAATGGTGCTTCAAATAGCAACCGTGCTTCTGATACCCAATTGTTGTGAACATGAGCAAGACCAATGTACTTCACGAGATACTGCTTCTGCCTATGTGTTCCTGACATGAAGGCAGACACAACAATATAACATTAAAATAAAAACAAAAAAGATAAAATATTAAAAGTTATTTTTAGTCAGCCATATATTCTTGCTTTGAACAACAAACACATAAGGAGTGCTGGTCAATCAGCTCTACTGAACCTGATGCATCCACTTCTCTAACATCACAGATTGAATCCACTCCTTTTGTCACTGAGTGGACACCAAATTCAATCATTTTCTTCAGACAGCAGGGGCAAAACCAGACTCCAGATGGAATATCATTTATAGGAGGACCTGAATAAGGAAGATGGTAGCATCCCTTGCAACCATTTCCATTGCAAAGACTGAAAGTATGTTAAGAGCACTCCACTAAAATAAAAAGAAAAAAATTGCATAAGCAAGAGGTTGGAACTTGGAAACAATACGGACATTCGGACAACGACAACTCCTATATGACTTCAGTTTGTAATAATACCCAATTGGACTAAAAAAAAGAAGCATTTTTTCAAGCAAACTGATAAATGTTGAAATCGAATGCTACTAAGGCAGAAGCTTAATGTGTTTGGCAGCAAAATAATACTCCCTTCGTCCCCCTTATATTGTCCCGTTTTACCTTTTTGGGAAGTCCCACTAATATTGTCTCATACCATATTTGGTAAAGTTTGTGTGGCTATAAATCATTCTTACTTTATTCTTACTTAATCAATTAATATCAACCACACAAACCCACCTTTCTTAATAATCGTGCCACCCTTCTCCGTACCAATATAAAAGGGACAGAGGTAGTAATACATATAAGAAAATAACTTCATCACTAACTGAATAACAATTTGATAGATATATCCCTATATCTCATACATTTCTCATAGATTTATTATAGGCATAGCCGCATAGATGATCAGTAACAGACATACATGTCATGGCGTCGCCTAGGCGGCGACTAGGCGTCCTGGCGCTAGAGAGTGGTCACCGGGTTGCTCGCCTCGCCGGAAGTGAAGTAGGCAACCTTGGCTTTGTCCGGTCGTCGTCTAGGCATTGTACAAGTGGTAAGGCGTCGTACAGGTGGTAAGGCGTCGCCGAGTTGGCTAATGTAACCGCAGGCCCAGAAAAAGAAAAGATTTAGGTTTTAAATAATTTTAGGAAACTTCAAAGTTAAACTCCAGTCGTAAAGACGTTCGAGACGAGACGCAGACAACTCGCATGAAGCAGACGAGCGCACAAGAAATCCAACCTCCAGGAAGCAGAACTCGCACAGTCAACTACCTCGCATGATGTAGACGACCAATACGTCCCAGGTCCCTAATATCTTCTCAAGTAGTCGATTGAGTTTTTTAATATTCCGTATGTTACGGACCTAGCCCATACTAGGCCCATACCAACTAGTGTCATAAGCCCAGGTGTAGAACTCACTCCTAAAAGACCAGCCGATTAGGAGGAGGGAACACCTTGCTTCTAAGCCACCAATCAATCCCATAATTGACTGGTGTGGGATCGTAACAATACCCCACCCTTCGAAGAGCCAACGTCCTCGTTGGTCACGGCCATGTTGGTCACGATTGGCACCCCCAAGGGCCCAAGCCACCACTCCGAGTGTCGGGACTAGGAAGATGGGGACGGCTCTGATACCAATTGTTACGGACCTAGCCCATACTAGGCCCATACCAGTGCCATAAGCCCGGGTGTAGAACTCACTCCTAAAAGACCAGCCGATTAGGAGGAGGGAACACCTTGCTTATAAGCCACCAATCAATCCCATAATTCGGAGTGGGATCGTAACACCGTACTACGTATTTTTATTAATTAAGAGTATATATATGTCAATATATGTGTATGATGAATACTCCATAGTCCATCTATTAAACGTATATTGTATACATGCGCATAGACAAATGTCGAAGCATATGCTGAATCGCTGGGTACAATTTTGCATTATTTTTGCATGTTATAAATTAATAAACTATTAATAAAAACTACAGAGTATTATATATGATTCACAAAAAAAGTATTATATATATAATAAATTACAAATAATAGAATGTTAAATATAATTATATACTCCATCCGTCCCGAATTATAAGATACTTTTCGGCTTACGATGTTTGACCGACGATAAAGCAATGGATCCTTGTCTGCACTCAAATTTTTTTTAGAAAAAAAAAATTACATATTCAGAAACTACATTAAAACCACTACAAAACCTGCAAAAAATAATTCAAATTGCATAAAATTTTGATATATAAAGTAAGAAATTAAAAGTGATTTGTGTTGACCAAGTGAATAGTAAAGATATCTTATAAAATGGGACAGAGGGAGTATATAATTACAAATCTATAATATTTTAAACTATGTGCGACTAGTTGCCTAGGCGATGTGGTGGTTGGCCGGTGCCGCGACTCACCTTGCCGCCGTGACAAGTATGGTAACAGATCTGTCGATATTCATAATTAAATTAAGACACTTCAGCTAAGAGTTTTTCGCATCCAGTAAATCAGATCTCGGCCAAGTTTTTCATGAGAAAAAGTACTTTCAACCCACATAGATAAGATTTTATATTCTTAGTGGTTGATGTTATTATTTCCCATTGTGTATCTTCATGCAGGAACATAAAATTCACTCACAGGCTCTTTCCATCTTGTAGGCATGCAGGGCACACATTTTCATCCATATCCACATGAGAGTCTGAAAAAGCCCGTCCAGAAATTCTGATGTGGTCTATCTCAGCAGATCCAGAAATACGAATAGCTTTAGCACCAAGTCCATCCTAATAAGAACAGTGTTAGTGAAAGAACCTGAAAACATACAACACAGACAACAAAAAAGATGCTCTAAATTGTCTTATAATCTTCTTCTTTGTTTGAAGAGGTAGCCTATACAACAACATCCAAGTCTTAGCCCCAAAAAAGTTTGGAGTCGGCTAACATGAATCGACATATGAAATCGGAGCTAAAAAGATAATATAAAAAAGATAAAAAAGAAAGATAAAAAAGTAAAAGGAAAATTGACAACAATAATCCCACCTTTGACCGGTCTTCTCATAATAATCTCACTTTTACGTAATCCCAGAATAATCTCACCTTTGAAGTCCATCTTATCTCATTGGACTCTGACCGGTTGATGACCTACTATATCAAGTTTTTTGTCTTTCCTTTGAAAATCTTACATAAACAATCTCACCTTTCACAAATCTGCTCAAAACAATCCTATGTTTCACTTTTTCTTTTTACAACTTAACATTTTTCTTTATTTTTATCCCTAAACACTTTTTAATCCTTTTTCCATCCTTTTGTTTTTATTTCTTTTCCATATTTATTAGTTTATTTCTCAATCTATTGTGAGTTTTGTTTGTAAAATTTCCTATCCGGACATATTTTTTTGTCATTTTCTCTTCACGTACTTTTATTTAATTTCCCTTTTATACACCATGACCATTACAACATCTATCTTCGAAGAAATCAAGAGGGGGCAACCTTGGAGATGTAAAGCTGGACATAATTCGAGCAAGAACGAAAGATGGCGCAAAAGGACCATTCAAGCTCCACGAAGACGAGGGCATCCGATACAATTATACAAAGGAAGATGGTGTGTCCCAAAGAAGTGTGACGAAGTCAAGAGGCAAATTATGGAAGAGGGGCACAACACACCTTACTCGGTGCACCCTGGAGGTGACAAGTTCTACAAGGACACCAAAGAAAACTTTAAGTAGACTTAAGTACCATCAATATATTTTTTCTAGTTTGGGCCTGTTATTAGTAGAGTATTTAGTAGAGTTAATTTGGGTCTAATTACGGTTTACTTAATTTGGGCTCGATTAAGGTTTCTGTTGTGTCTGTTACTATAAGGGTATTTAAACCCCTTGTTAGGGTTCATTCTTGGTGATCAGTTAATAAAATTGGATTTCAGCCTATTGGCTCTGGGCAACGGTTTCTACCGTTGATTATTATTGGGCAACGGTTTATTCCGTTGATTTTTATTTTTCGTTCACATCACATTCCATGTCCCAAAGTGAAATCTAGAATTCCACCTTCTAGTTTATCACTACCTCGACCACCACCATGCCCTCTCATATTTGACACCATCCAACTCAAGCATTCTTATCACCACACTCAAGCCAATGAAGTATAGCGCGCCTTTGCATATTTGACATCACCCCCAAGAGCAGGGGTGATGCGCCGCTTTCGAACGAATACATAGTTGTAGCATTCATATTTTGATTCATGTCATGTGGCTAACAAAGGATCCTCACTTACAAGTACAAAGTGGAAGGCTTTCATTATCGTACATAAAAGGTGTGAACATTCTTTGCAATGCACAAATAAGGGACCCTCACTTACAAGTTAGGATGCTTTCTTTTGGAGTGTTTTCAGTCCTAGACCCGACCAGACCAGACCAGACTTGACTTCCGTAGTTATAAAATACACAAACACCAGACGTTTACCAGTCCAGACCAGATCAGCCCAGCAAATTTCAGTCCAAAAGAAAACATCCTTACAACGATGATAGCGTTTAAGATATCCCAAGACTTGTCAATGATGAATACATAAATCATACTAATTGGAACATAAAAAAGCTTATGAATCTTGATATGCTAAAAGTTAATCACTAGTCACACTTAAAGTTCAATGGTATCTGTGTTGTTGTGTGTACGTTAATGTCTTTGAGTCTGTCATTGAACTATGTCAACTAATCAGTCTCATAAATAAGAAGAAGGTATGTGTCTATAAAAGCTCCTAAATTTTGAGCCTGGTGGGTCTTAAGAATCTTGCTGGTCAACCTTTTTCTTTCTCTTAGTGAGTTAGTGCTAATATTGAATGGCACCAAAAACTAACCTCAGGACTGGCTAAGTTAGAGGCATCGTTATTGGACATTGCAGCACATGAGCAGAGTTCTACTTTTGGTGAATCATGAGCCACCCTGCAAAATGAAAAGATTAACTCAAACTTTAAAACTATCATATAAAACCAAAATTATTTACAAATCAAATGCATGAGAACGTCGGTATATTGAGGTTAAGAGCAGAATCAGGGAATGAAAGCATATGAAAGTATGAAACTACAATGATTCCAAACACAATAAAGTAAGGGAAAATAATATTTCATATCAGCTCATCCACTCATTTTTCGTGTTTCTGTTTTTCTCCTTTTTAAGATGTGTAGGAGGGAGCTAGCATCAGAACATATTCTTGTAAATTATAAGTAAACCTAGCATAAAACACTGTTGCACTTACACATGAAAGTACATATAATTGACTTAATTGTAGACTTTAAGCATCTTTACTGACGAGTGACGACATAAGATCCAGCAATTTGTTAAATGCCATGAATGCAAATATTCTATTTTGCAAACAAAAATTACGAAAATTACCATAGCTTTTTCGAACATGAAACACAAGACCCAGCAAAGATCATGTTTGTATCTGCCATTTCGACTTCAGACTCTGTGTTAAAATGTGTCTTTGATGTTCTTATTATTCCATGATCAACACTTTCTGAATTAATTTCACTATTTGCAGAAACAGAATATACTAAATTTGGGATCTTTGAAGTTTCCATAACAGGGAAAATCTCAAGCACATCTTTGGAGTTTCCTTCAACAACACGTGCAGCAAGGTGATCCGTCAATTTTTCTCCAACCTTTATATGACACTCAACTTCCTCATTTTCTTTATCCTCAACAAGCTTGGACTCCTCGTTTCTGAAGTCACTGCTATCAGCTACAGGAAACTTAAGGGGTCTTTTTGATTTGGTAATAATTCCTACATGGGAAAAATATATTCACGTCAGCGTTTCCTAAAATAGCAGAAAAGGTGCAACAACAAACCACCCAAGCAATGTTAAGACATTTCGTCTTTAAAATTATGAATTATTTCAACAGCAACTTTCTGATTTTCGTACAACTGAAATTAATGTTAAAGCTGGCAAATTTCACATTTCTAAGGAAATAATAGGAGGAAGTGTTGCATTTCTCCTCCTAGATTAAATATTCCATTAAAGATGCAGGAAAAGACATATGTGGGGCTTGGAACCCTGGATGAGAACATGAAAGAACAGATATTGTCCACCTGATGGTGTACTCTTTCTACGTCGCCTCTTGAGAAAAAACTTATATCTTTGGCTATTTACTCTCTTCCTTTTCTTTCCAATAGAGGACAAGCTCTTGTAATGGACCTTACTGCTAGTGCTAGCATCTTCAGATTCCATCATCAGTTGTTCCATCGTCTCCTCTTTGTGGTCATGTATCTTTACGTGAGATGGATTAGATTCATTCTCTGGGATCTTTGACAACGAAGAAACATTGCCTTTCCCTCTATCAGACCTCCTCAAAGGACTAGGAGTGTCCAATTTATCAACTTTGCCAGATTTGGCAGGAGTTGTGGGTGAAGTCTTCTTCTGAATCCGCTCAGACTTCCTGGTAGGTGATGGGCTTGTGCTTGTATCTTTTGATCGGGTTACCTGAGCTACCCTCCTTAAACCTGAACAATCTGTCTTTTTAGTGCCTGGGGGTGTTCCTTCTCCATCAGCCACTCTAATCTTTGAAGTATCATTGTCATCGTCACTCCCCATTTTGCTCCTTGACCGAGTGTCACAAACCATGTTTCTGAAAGTAAATAGAATGTTAAGGTCCAAAATCTTCACATATAGATCTGCACATAACCAGCAATATATAACACAGAAATAGTAATAGGAGCAGTGTCCTAACAAAATTTACATCCACTCAAATCTTAATTCTTTCCTTCGCTGAGAGTACCAAAGAAATAGCAACAAGAACAGTGTGCTTGTAAAATTAAATACATACATGGAAGGTTGCATCTAATTTTAGTTTTTTTGTATACGTATAACATCTCAATACTGCATATATTAAAAGCTGTTGCTTTTGATTCATATAAAAATGTTAAGTTAAAAAATACCTAGTATCGCCTTAACCTCTCTTGAGCCTAACCACAACAGAAATAATAAGCATGCCAGTGCTAGTACCACTAGCAAGTTTCAAGCTTTCAACAACTCCTGAAGAATATAGAAATTATCCGGCCCTTAAAGAAAAAAAATAGATTATATTTATACATGCAAGTCCTCATTCCAAACTCACTTCATTAAAATACAGCAAACGGGGTGAATATTTATTTGTATAATAATTGTAGAAGTCAAAAACTAATTCTTTTTATTTGGAAAACAAAAACTGATCATTTTAAAACAGGAAGGATACTTTTCCGGTTCATGGGCTCATTAAGAGCACTGCTAGCCTCACTCTAGACTCTAGAGTTTCATGATTCTATCATATGTCCCAGTAAATGCTAAGCTCGATTGAAACAGGGTGATGAAGAAAGCTACGGTTTGAGCAAGAACTTCAGTGCGAAATTTGGTAACTTACCATTGAAGACAAGGCGAAACCTCGGGAATGTCAACCCTAATTTCAGACCCGTTAGATGAATGGATTATTAGAGTAGAAATTGTACAATACGGAGTAGAAAATAAATTAGTATGCTGTTGCTTCTCCTTTGATCGCCGTCGACTCTTGCCCTCTTTGACTTTACTGTGTATGGTTTCAAGTAAACGTCGACGACGCAGGACTCTGCTCCATATTTTAAAAAGCACGCGTAGAAAAAGTTTTTTCTTGAAGAAGAAAAGAAATGTAGAAAGAAAGCGAAGCTAAGATGGAAATAGAGGATTCTGATCCAATAAAAAAGTACTCCGTAATAAATATTATTCACCCAAAACTTTTTAAAAAAGGAAATGAGAAAAAACAAATCTGGACATTACAAAATGTAAATGACAAAATCTTATGGAAGGGAGGGATTATTGTTTTATACTTCCTTCGTTCTTTTTTACCAGACTTCTTTATTCTTTAATAGTTGTAATACTTTAAATTTTACATTATTCTAACATGTTACTTTGGTAATGATTTTCTACTAATACATATAATCAAATTATAATGTATCAAATGTTACTATATACTAATTTTTTTTAATATCTATTAATACGTAAATAAATATAATTACAGTCAAAGTTGCATATTGACAAATGTGAAAATCAAACTATTGCATTTAGATGAAATATGTATAATGTGACTATGCACTCTGTATTTCAGAATAATATTAGGTTGTTTTATAAATCTGAATTGTATTATGTATATAGAGTGTCTGGTAATGAAGTTATGTACAATAGAGGGAAGTTTTTATTGAGATAGTCATTACGAGATTAAATGAAAGTATGAAACCACAATTAAAGAATCAGATCATATTACAAAATTGTATGCAAAATTGTAGCTCATAAAAGGGTTAAAATTGTAACTTTGTGTGCCCGGAAATATACATTCATGCGGTCATACCCATGTAATCTTTATATGTGCCTTAAAAAATCTTTACATCAATATATAATTCCCACATATTTTCCAGAAATTATATGTGTGTATTGAACAAACTAACCAAATTAGAGCCTAAAACGTGCTTAAAACTATACAAGCATTCACTATTTTCCTTTTGTTTTGAATCAGACACGATATGGTAATAAACATTCATTAGTATCCTTTTATTAATATCTTAATACGCATTTTAAAATCACATGGGTGATCCAATTTTGACACCGCAATTCCATGTCAAAGTATAATCAAGTTACAAGGTAAAACATGTAGTTTAATAAAGAATTTTTATTTCATATAGTGATAATATTTTCTTTCACGTGTTTTATTTGTATATGTTATTTTGTGTAGTGATATAAATTTTTAAAGTTGTAATATTTTTTGCCCCAAAATTCGTGTTCAAAGTGGGTTTATGATTATCTACTGTAACTAGTTTAGTTTATGGTGCCCAAGACCATTGTACGAACATTAATTTCTTGATTTAGGTTGAGTAAATATATGATTAATATGAATACAATATTTGAATACATAGTTTGTTATTTACAAAATTACGAAATAAAATAAAATGAACTTGATGAAGGGAACACAAAAAAATGGGGCAAATTTTATAAACATATAGTAGTCCAATCCGGCATTCTGACCTCTTATGTAAATTAAAAAGCCACTCACATCACTCACACACACGTATAAAAGAAGAACCAATACCAAACAAATAGAAACTCCATAAACAAAAAATGGTCATAAATCAAAGAACCAACACCAAACTCCAATAGTCTATGGCTAATTAATCAACTAACATCAGGGGTCTCCACTTTGGGTTTCTCTTGTTCAGCCTCTTGCACTTCCTTCTATGTCTTTCTTCCCTTCTTTGACTTGTATTACACACTCATGAAGGTGCCTATGGCTTTATACTTGTGCGTGCAGTGCTCATAGAGTCCAACATAAAAAAAATGTAATAGTGATAAAGGAAGAGAAGATGATTCTTTATCTTTATATTACAATATGTTCTTGTAAAGAGATAAAACACTATATTGGAGATACAAATATCTCACTGTTTTTTTTTTAAGTTTTCTTCCAAAGTAAATTAGGGACTATGAACATGCCGAGTATTTAAAACAAAAATGTAATAGTGATAAAGGAAGAGAAGATGAATCTTTATCTTTATATTATATAAAGTAGCAGAGTTGATACTACTTTTGGGGGGAATTGGCCGCCCAAATTAAGGGCATAATGGGAAAATAATTGGTAAAGTAATATGAAATCCCGCCCAGTAGTTTGCGGGTTATTAATTTGGTAAGATTAGTTATTATTATTAAATTGATAATAAACAGTAGTTCAAACTCGAAAGCAATACATGCGGGAAAAACTACTGCCCAAAATTTTGTAAGACAAATGCATTGACAAGTTTATAATGAAATTATGATAGAAATAGGACACGTATGAATTATGTTAACACATGTCATATGTATGGAAAGAAAGATTAAATAAGGCATAGTATGACACCATCTTAAATGTATACACAATCAAAATATTGCACATATAATTCTTTCGTAGTCTTATGTTAAGAAGAACGTTAATGTAGAAAATTGTTATAGGGTACTATTTAAAAAAGTATTTTACACCATCTTAAATCAATTAAGACGAGTAATATTTTTTTATATTGACGCTATTCTTGCATATATGGTGTGTCCAGATGTGGAGTCAGGGCACTGGGGCAGACTGGATTAGGGGTGAGCATATAACCGACAAAACCGATAAAACCGAAAACCGACCGACCGAAAAAGTCGGTTATCGATCGGTCATTGGTTATTACATATTAAAAGAAGTCGGTTATTCGGTTATTCAGTTAACAGTCGGTTATTTTAATCGTTATCGGTCGGTTGACCGAAAACCGAAGTATAGTCTACTCCGTATAAACATTTGCATGTACTTCATGCATGCTATGATGTTTCACTTCATAACATATCACAATTACTCTGTGAAATAATGTCAAATATATGACCAAATTGAATATTGTGGATACAAATATGTCTTTTCATACTTTAATGACTATAATTGTAATTTTAATGTGCATGATTGTGTTCAATTTTATATTACAGTAATCATGAATGGTATACTCGTTTTAACTTTAGTCATGTTTAACTTTACTTTAGTATGTAGTACGATAGTAATATTTAAGGAAATCTCTCATATTTTAGTAAATTTCATGCATTTAGTAATTAGTGGTTGACCCAAAAGAGATAAAATGACACTCATGCACAAGAAAAGCTACCAGCAGCGTAAGAAAATTACTTTAATTATGAGATAATTTAATTCATTTCTTCTTATTTATTTCATGAATGGAGAAAATGCATTTTATATATGATCAATTATTTCATTCATTTTGTTTTGTAGTGTAAAAAATCAATTATTTTCATCCATTTTTGTATCAAATGTTTTTTCTAATATGTTTATTTAAAGCATTCAAATTTTTGAAAAAAATATGCTTAAAAAATTTATATGGTCAGTTATTATCGGTTATTCGGTTACCGACCGAAACTGAACTACATTTTTTGGTCGGTTATAGTGATGTTATCGGTTGGTTTTCGGTCGGTTATTAGAGTGAAAAAACTTGATCGGTTATTCGGTTATCGGTCGGTTATTTGACCAACCGACCGAATGCTCACCCATAGACTGGACCGGTACAAATAATATTTTTCGGAAAAAAATACACGGAATTTTTACACTAAAATTATAGGCATTTTTTAAATTTGGAGTGAGTCGGAGTGATCTATATTCCCCCTTTGCTACGCCCCTGGGTGTATCAAAGTATTGCAATCCACAAATATGTGATATTCTTTCTATATTAATAACATATAATGGAGTATATGTTATGGAGTACATGTTTGCATAGCCGTGCAGTTGGAATATTAAAATCTGAAAAGAAAGAAAAATGTTAATATAGAAAGAATAATACACTTACCATATTGCCATAAAAAATACATGTACCTTATTGCTTCAAAAAAATACATGTACCATAATTACTCAAATGTCAAAGTTTCAATACGAAACTTTCCATTACAATTACTACATTCAATAACATGCTAAGGCTCTGTTTGCAATCACTTGTGTTTAAATAAAAACATTTTTTGGGAAAAAGTTATTAGTAGTAAAAGTTGGTAGTGTTTGGTAAAATAAGTGCTTTTTGTGTAATAGAAAAAGTAAAAAGTAGATTCTACACGAAAACCGAGAAAGTAAAAGTGAGTAGTGCATGTTTGGTAAAATAAGTATTTTTTTTTCTTAAAAAAAGCCACAATCACTTATTTTAAGTGATTGCAAACAAAGCCTAAATATTCCACCATTCAGCAAGTTCATATATACGTACGAGTATAAACTATCACACATTCAAATATTTTAACGTACTAGAAGACAATTGTTTTTCGTCAATCAAGCATGCCTATTAAAACTGCCAATCTCGACAAAATTCAACTGGGGCAAGTTACGGTTGTACAAAAAGTCAAAAACCTACAGTGCACTTGAGATGATTTCACTAAACCAGAAGGTAACTCAAGTGTGTTCCAAAACAATAACTTCATAGTTAAATAATTTTCTCCGAAACTATTTTACTAAATGCATACTCATAATTACATAATTTCTAATATCATAAACACAAGTTTATCTAATTTATAATTATTTTTTACTAAATTTTAAAAGTTATGTTAAATTGCATGTGTTTACCATGTGTTAGTTTAGTATGTTTCCTTTCAAAGGTTTTAGTATAAACTCAATGATTTGTTTTAATTTAAACAGTTTGTGTAATTTTATACTATGTGCAATTTAAACAAATTTGCGAAGTTTATTTCAAAACATATTCACAATTGAATAATTATTTAATTCCAATTTAATTTACTAAATACGTGTTCATAGTAAAATAATTTCCTTGTGATTTAAATATTTTTTATCTAGTTTGAATTGACCATGTTTCACTTCAATTCCATAGTTTAAAGTCTGAAACTAAAACTTTGAAATATGCTTTGTTTTGTAAAATTCAATTTACCAAAAAAGGTTTAAGAGCATTAGGCCTGTAAAACATTGATTTTTTTATCCATGTTCTATAGTTTCAAGAAAGACTATGTTTCAGACTTCCATGTCTCTTCAGAAAGAAAAATACATGATATGTTTCAATTTTATATTTGTTACCTCTAGCTGCCAACTTCTAAATCAAGCTTCAATAGTTTCATTTTCACATATTTAACTATTTTTTATAATTTCAGGTCACTTCTAATCTTTTATCAGCTTGATTAGTTAAATTTTAAATTTAATGGCTCACATTTAA